TTGGACATACCTTTCTTCAGTTCGTAAGGTGAGTCTTTGCAAAGGTCTACTTGGGACTGGCTCCGGATCATTTTAGTGTCTTTAGCCAGGCTCTCGGCTCTGCTGAGGACAGTCTGGTTTAATCCATTGAAGTGGGCGCCGGGGGCGGCGGCGGCGGGCCCGCCGGCGGGGTGCCCGTGCAGGGCCCCGAAGGAGCCGTAGTTCGTGTACCCGGGGTAGAAGGGCGCGGTGTAGTAAAGCGGCCGCGGCAGGACCGCCCCGTTGGGGAAGGGGCACTGCGCGGCCGGCGAGCGCGGCCGCGGAGGCGAGCGCGACGGGCCGCCGCCGCCCAGCACGGCGGGGCCGGGGGGGGCCGCCTCGCCGCCGGCCTCCTTCGCCTTGTCCGCCGAGGTGGCGATCTCGGCCAGCGACCAGAGCTTGGGCTTAGCGAGGGCCGCCTGCTGCGGCGAGTGGATGACGGAGGCGCCGGTGGCGGCGGGCAGCAGCGGGTGCAGGTCGGCGGCGTGCGGCGGCCCGGCGGCGGCGGAGGGCGGGCGGTACGGCGGGGGCTCCTCGCCGCCCGCCGGCGGCAGCCCGCGGCCCGCCGGGCACGGCCCCAGCGGGGAAGAGCCGGGCGCCTTGGAGGGGGGGGCGGGCGGCCCGTCGAGCCGCTCCTCCGCCGGCTCTTTGCAATCCGAGTCGCTGAGGCCGCCCTCGGCCTCCCGGGGGCCGGGGGACTCCTGGAGGCGCTCGCAGCCCGGCGCTGCCTTGGGATCCGCCGCTCCTGGGGGAGGGGGGGGAAGAGGAGAGGGGTGGGGGGCAGCTCTCGGGCTCGCCCTGCGCCCCCAAACCCGCCCACCCACTTCGCCGCCCCCCCCCCCCCCCTCCATCGCTTCCCCCCCTCCCACCCCCCGTCGCAAGGCCCGCAGCGCTGCCCTCCGGCTCCCCCCGCCCCGGCTGCCCGCTCCGGGAGGGGGGGGGGGGGGGGGGCACGCACACACACACATACACACACACAACACGGGCCGGGGGCAGCCCCGAGGGCGCGGGCGCGTCCGAGCCCGCTGCCCTACCTGTGTCCGGTGTCCCGGGGTCCCCCTTCTCCTCCAGTTTCTGGGGCTCGTCCTCGTCGTTCTTCTCGAGGTCGATGTTCTCCTCTTCCTCCTCGTCCTCGCTGCGGTTCCGCGGGGTCCAGGTCATTTTGTTCTCCTTTTTGAGCCGCCGCCGCGCGTTGGCGAACCAGGTGGAGACCTGGGTGAGGGTCATTTTGGTGATGATGGCCAGCATGATCTTCTCGCCCTTGGTGGGGTAGGGGTTTTTCCGGTGCTCGTTGAGCCAGGCCTTGAGGGTGGCCGTGGCGTCCCGCGTCGCGTTCTTGCGGTACGCGGGGTCCCCGTAGGGGTAGGAGCCGAGCGGCGCCGCGTACGGGTGGTAGCCCAGGGAGCCGGCCATGCCCGGCGTGTGGTCGTAGGGCGAGCCCTGGGGAGAGAGGGGACAGCGGCCCGGCGGGGCGAGGTCAGGCGGCCGCGGGGCGACAAGGACACGGCAAGGGCAGCGCCAGGGCCTGCCCGCGGCCCCTGCCCGCGCCCCGCCGCCTCTCCCCCGGCGCTTGCCCTGCGCGGCTTCTCCCCCGGCTCCTTCCCGGGAGAACGGGCGGAAGGGCCTGGGGGCTCGCCGGGGCCGGGAGGCTCCGGCCCCAGGAGGCCACTGGCCGCCTGCGGCGATCCAGCGCCTTTTCCCCGAATGCAGGCGCGGAAAAAGCAAGTGGGTAGCGCGGCGTGGGGGCGGAAAAAGGCGGGGGGACCATTCCCTTCGTCCCCGCGCTGCGATCGCGGCGGGCAACCTGCCGGGGCCAGGTGGCTGAGCCGGGCCGCTCCTCTGCCAGGCCAGGGGCGGGAGGAGGCAAAAAAATAAAGGGGAGAGGAGGAAAGTAAAGAGAAAAGAAAAGAGACAAGAGTATAAAAAAGAGATGAGAGAAGAGAGAAAAGAGAGGAGAAAGAAAAGAGAGAAGAGACAAAAGAAAATAAAAGAGAGAAGAGGAAATATAAGAAAAGAAATAAAAGAGAGAAGAGAGAAAAGAGAAAAGAGAAGAGAAAAGGCAAGACAGAAAAGAAGAAACTGTGAAACTCTGCCTAGACCCTAAACAGAGGGAAGAACCTGAGCAACACTCCCCGGGTTTTGGGGGGACTGCGGGGCACCGGCGGCGGCCGCAGCTCCGCGGCAGGGATGCCCGGCGCCCCGGGCCGGCCCCGCGGTGCTCCGCAGGCGCGCACGGCGGCGCAGTGCCCTGCCTTCCCCTTCCCTTCTCCGCGCAGCGCCCGCGGAGCAGGTCGCGGCCACGGGATTAGAGCTCTGCTCTATTTAAGCAGCCTAATTATCGCCGTGCGGGGGGAAAGTTGCCTGGGTTTATCGCCCGGATTTCTCCCATCGCCGGCCGCTACCGGGTTCGTTCCCTTTTCAATCACAACAAGCTAATCGTTGTGGAATTGCGATTATTATTTTATATAAAAAATAATAAAATAAAAAAATATATATTTTTTTTTTAGGGAATGAAATGGGCCCCCGCCCGCCCCAGCCCCGTCTGGCCTGGGCCGTGCCGCCCGGCTCCCCTCCCGCCCAGCAACAGTGTGCGGCAGCACGGGGCGGCGATGCGGGAAAGTTGGGCGGCGTGGCGGGGAGCCGCGCTCTCTTTTGTCCCCCTGAATCTCCAAAATAAAATCGGACCAAAAAGCAGGCCCGGGGTGGGGTGGGGGGGTGTCGGCGCCCGCGGGATGCCGCCGTGCCCGGGGCTGCTCTTACCACGTAGGAAGTGAAGGCGGCGGCGGCGGCGGCGGCCGGGTCGGTGCCGTACTGGAGGTGGGAGTTGTAACCCGGGGAAGGGGCGGTAAAGGCGGTAGATCCGGCATAAGGGGAAAAAGCGGAGCCCGAAGAAGATCTCCCAAGTTCATCGGTCCGGGGTCCGGAGATCACGCTGGTGCTGTATGCCGGGCAGGAGTAGAGAGCCAAGGACGCTGACGGCTGGTACAAGTAACCCTGAGGATACGACATGGCCAGGCGCACACATATACCCGGGAGCCCAAGGCGCCGGGAGGGAGCCGCCGCGCTGCCGGGCTGGGGCCGCTGCGGCCGGGGCTTCGCGGGCGCCTCTCCGCCCTCGCCAGCTGGGCAGCGGCGGCACCTTGCTCTGCGCCGGGGCTGCTGCTCCGCGCTCGCCTGCAGCCTGGCACCGCTTCCTCCTTTTTCTCCCCCTCCTCGCTTCCCTCTCTCTCTCTCTCTCTCTCTTTTTTTTTTTTTTTTTTTTTTTTTTTTTCTTCCCCTCGCTCCCTCTCTCCCCCTTGCACCGGGGGGCTTTTTTCTCCCCCCCCCCCCCCTTCCTCCTCGCTCTCGCTTTCCGAAGGGTCCTGCCAAGATGCTAAGTTGGAAATTGCAGCTCCTGACGCTTTCTGCGCGGCCCGGCGAGGCTCCTCCTTCGCGGGGTGTTGTCAGTGGAAGGACTGGCAGGACCCCGCTGGGCTGCCGCGGCCGGGCCCAACCAGCGGGAGGGCTCCGCGCTTCCCTCGGCCCTCCCCAGCGCTCAGAGGCTCAAGTGCGCCGGCTCCTGGATTGCAGTCACCTCCGAACCATTTAAGATCAGCTCCAACTTTCTGCATGTGCTAAATACCGTGCGGAGCCGCGCTGCGCCGGAATGCAAGCCAATCAGTATATGAAAAAAAAAATAGATATTTAATAAGATTTATTAGCCGCCCGGCTCCCCCTCTGCGCAGCCACCCCTCCTCTTGCTCTCTGCCCCCTGCCCCTCCCTCCACTAAATCACCGGAGGTGGAATATACCGGGGGGTGTGCGGGGTGCGCGGTGGTGTTAGTTTTTCTGTGCCAAACAAAACCCGCGGTTTTCGGCGGGGGAGCTCTGCGCCGCAGCCCGAGCCGGTCGCGCCGTCGGGGCCGGAGCTGTTGCGGCGGCTGTGGGAGCGGAGCTGCGGCGGGGGGAGCGCGGCCAGGAGCGGGCAGGGGGGGCTCGGGGGGCCCGGAGCGGGGCGGGTGGGATTTCGTCTTTCCCAGAGCCGGACCCGGGAGAAAGGGAATGCGGAGGGGGAGCGGTGGGGGCGGAGGTGGGTCTGCAGAAATCGTTCAGGACGAGGGTTTGCCCGCGGATCTGAAGGGTACCCCGGGAATCCTCCCCCTCCCCGGCTCATAAAAGGGTCGAGGCGAAAGCAGATTAAAACCATATGAACCGGGATAAATCCCCGCCGATCAGGAGATGTAATCTCTTTTGATTCCACCAGATATATTTCCCAACAGGAACAGATCCCGATTTATTCCCTTCTCGGGGGTTTTTTGGGGCTTTTTTTTTTGTATTTTTTTTTTTTCCTGGCGGCTGAGGCGAGGCGCTGCCCCCCTCGGCCGCGGACCCTGCCCTCCGCTGCGGCTCCGCGCCCGCGGCCACCCGGGACCCGCCGTGCCTTTCCCGAGGCGGGGGGCGATTTCATTAGTTTTTATCTTATTTTTCTAATCTAGTAACTTTTTGAGCTCCCCGACCCCAATTCCTTTCGCCGCCGGCCGCAGCGGGACGGACGCGACGAGGCGGGGTGTGGGGCAGGAGCTCCCCGGGTCGCCGAGGAGGCGACACCGCCCCCGCCCCGCTCCCTCCCTCCCCATCTCGGTCCCTCCCTCCCTCCGGAGCTCCGTCCCGGCGGCCACAGCCCCCCAGCCAAACGGCGGGGCACTGGCTGAGCCCTCCCGCGCAGCCCGGCTGCGGGGCCGCGGGCGGCGGCGCCTCGGCGGGAAGGGTCGCCGGGGGGGACGCAGACTTTTCGGGGGGTGTGTGGGGGGTGTCACGGCAGAGCCGGAGGCGGCGGGGCAGGCGCGACCCGCACTACACTACCCAGCAGGCCTCGGCCCCGCCGCCCCTCCCGGCACTTGATTGGCTGCCCGCCCGCCGGCCGCGGGTCCGCCTCTCCTGCCATTGGCCTGGGGATCTGTCCCTCAGCGCGGCGAGGCGGGGGTGTGGAGGGGTGGCGGCACGCGGCGCGGTTGCTGGGGAGTCCGGAGGCGGCGCTGACAGGACGGCGCGCGGAGGCGCTGCGGGCCGTGGGCGGCCGCCGCCCGGCCCGGCCCGGCCGTGGCGGCTGCGGGTCGGGACGGCTCGCTCCCGGTCTGAGGCCGGCCGCCGGCCGCCGAGGTGAGGAACCGGGGCGGCAGCGTCACCGTCGCTCCGCCGCCGCGGCCGGCCGCCGGGGCCTCAGGGCGGCGCTGCCCCCGCCGCGCTGGGGCGCCCCCTGCCGGGCGGGCCTCGGCGCTGCCCTGGCGGACCTCGCTGCCGGGCGCGCGCTCCTGGGGAGGCGGCGGCGCTGGGCCCGATGGCGGCCGCGCCCCCGGGGCCGGGGTCTGCCCGGGCCGGGCCGGCGTCTGTCCGTGCCGAGGTCTGTCTGTCCGTGCCGGACCGGGGTCTGCCCGTGCCGGTGTCTGCCCGCGCCGGTGTCCGCCCGGACCGGGCCGTGCCGTGCCGTGCCGTGCCGTGCCGTGCCGTGCCGTGCCGGAGGGTGCTGCCGCGCCGGGCCCTGCGGTAAGGCGGCGATGGCGGGAGCGGCGTACGGAAGCCCGGCGAGGCGAGGTGGGTCTCGGCACCTCCTCGGCGCTGCTGTCGAGCAGAGCTTTGCCTGGCGATTCCCTCCTTTGGCATATTTTTCCTTTTTTAATATATATATATATATATATTTAACGTGGAAGCGTATGGTGTTTTCTCTCTTTAAAATCCACGTGGGTTCTGCCCCCGGTAACCGGGAAGGGTCTGACACCGGGTCGCACGCTCTCTTACATGCTCATTCCACACAGGTGTGCACTTTCATCAGTTTTCAGCTGCACGGTGTCACTGATGTTTGTCCCTGGGTTAATTTTAGCTCTTGCTCTGAAGCACCGCACCTCTTTTTCCACTCAAAAGCGCTCCTTTCATAAACCTCTGACAATACCCCTTGTTCGAGGAGTGAGCTATCATCTGGTAAAGGTTTATACATTTAACATTCATTTTATATGTAAGTAGACTAAGTAACCGCTTTTCCTTGGCCATTTCCTTGTAGGGAGAAGCAGAAGTTTTAACCATCTTTCCTTGGCATCTGACTTTTTTGCGAAGGAGGTAAGGTTAATGTCATGTAAAATTACCTTCTTTATTTCTGATGTTCTAGTAATCTTGCTTCTGTAGACGTGCGTTTTGGAAACTGGTGAGTTCGTGCATGCTTTCATGCATTGCAACGTAATACCGGAGTTGATTAATAAACGGTAGCGATAGGACTCTTATGCCATCAGGATTGTAAGTGTCTATCAAACTGACATTCTTACTATAATATGCCACTATTATATTCTTTGCAGTTTTAAAGGAACTGTAGATAATTCTTCAAGATATTGAAACATTTAGTTTATAGTTCTATTGCTGTGGTTGTCACCTTCACTTTCTATCAAATTTGAGGCTCATTTCTTAAGGATGTCTCTATTTTCTGCTTTATTTGCACATTGATAGCTCTACTGAATGACTAGTCACAGCAACTTTTTCCTCCAATAGAAGCATATTAAAATGTGAAAGCCTAAAACTAATCTGCTTTGCAAGACTTTTCAGCCCTTTGATTAAAGCGAAGTGAGAAGTTTGTTTCAAGACTCTTGTTTATGTAGTTCTATCAGTTCTGTTAACAAATGTGGGGCTTGAGGATATGTTTGCGGTTCCCTTCAGTTTTACTGAAGGTACGTACATTTGGAGGTAGGGATAAGTTCTTGGTATCAGGTGTTTGCTTTATAGCTGCCAATGAAATGATACAAGTGCAAGTTGATATTAAAATTCTGTACTTTATATATTTTTGTCATAATTTTTTGGGAGCTAAACCGTTAATGCCATAGCAGAAACATTTACCATTCAATTCTTAATGATGGGTAGGATTTACAGGCTGGCTGTGCACTCTTCACTGTATTTAAATTAAGGCTTGTGAATTTAAATTCAGCTTGTATAAATAAATAATTAAAGTCACTATTTTTATAGCCATCAGTCTGATGGGCTGATCCTGTAAAGCTGTTTAAAATGGTCTTTGCTTACTTTAGTACTTGGACTCCTACAGGGTTTTTGACGTGAAGCGAACTTGGATTTGAGATGCCTGCACAAAATGTGGTGACACAAAATGTAGCAATATTTGAACTTGCATATTTGTTTTTCTACACTGGTTTCATTTGCATAATTTCATTTAGGGTGTGCAAACATATGTGGTATGGCATAAAATAGATTAATAAATTAGTGCATGAACATGTAATGGGGATCAGCTGTGAATATTTTCTTTCCAGGAGGAAAAAAAGAGGTAGAGTGGTTGTGAAAATAACAGCAAACTATGCTGTGAAAGTACAGCCATTGGTAGGCTCTAATGTAAGTGGTTTGGTTGCAGGTGGCTTGTAGTGGATGGAGTTAAACTTGGGTGTCTTGGATATGATGCACCTTAATTTAATTACTTTAATAGCTACTTTCTGTTGAAACTTTAAAATCTAACGATCCTGCTTTTATTGCAGTCTTTAAAGATCTAATCGTTCTTGTGTGTGTCTGAGATGTAAAACTTAGTGCAAGGAGAGGCAACAGATTGGTTCCGTCATATGATTTTGTTGGGGTTTTTTGAGAGTACTTAAAAGATTATGATGGATAATGCTGTCTTGCCAAAGAATGCCGACACAGGTGTTCATCATTATCTTAATTAAGATCCTGAGAAAATGTCATCTTTCGGCATGAATTATGAAGGGAGATGCATTAGGAGATCATTTCAACTTTTTTTTTTTTTCTTTTAACAGTAGTAGATGAGAAGGAGGCTGTTCTCTCAAAACCTTTTTGATATTTCTTTACCAATATAGCTGGCCTTAGACACTTACAGAATAATTTGTTTCTCCACTTCAATTTGTGAATATACTACCAAGAGATCTGTATGTGATGTTAAAGGGAGTCCACTTTAAAAAATTCAACCAAGCAAAAATAATCACAGTGATTAAAAAATACTTTCCCAGATACTCTGTTCTGTTTAAAGCTGTCCCAATAAACAAAATACTAAGACTCGGATGGCAGTGGAAGTTGCTGTTGGAAACATCTGCTATGAGGTGTTTTATACAGTGTATTTAAAAGTATTAACAACCCATACTAATAACAGAGCAAAGTAAATTTATCTTTTCAATTAATCATGAAGAGAAAAAAATTTCCTTTTTCACCCTTGCACTACCATGGAAGTAAAACTAATTAGCGTGCAAAGGGGAGGGAGGGGCTCGTGTTTTTCTGTGTTGAATCAATATATTATTATGCTGAGCAAGAGCTAAAACAATGCCTCTAAAATATTGACTGAAGCATCGGCAGTAAAACTTAAGGGCGCTTTCCTGCAGATACCACTTGTGCGTGTTGCTGCTGGCTTCCCTGAGACGAAGTGCTGGGAGTTACAGGGTCAGTAAGTGCAGTGGAAGTGCCGGTGTTTGGTGGCTCTTAGCCCAGGTGAATCGTCTCAAGAAGAGCTCTGCCAGACACTCTTAACTTCTCTGTTGTTTCTTCTGCCTGCTCTGACTTTGCCCAAGACTCACCTTGTTAGCGCCGTGTGTTTGCAGTCTGAGACCGAGGCGTAAACTCGCAAACACCTAGAATAACTCTTCATTTCAGTGTCTAGCTGTTGGGTTGCTGGGATAAACTTTTTTTTTTTTTTTTTTTTTAAATGCAAGCCTTTCTACGTAAAATCACTTTTTGTCTGCTAAAGGAAACCTGATTATCAATCTCGGTCCTTTTTTAAATTGCATCAGCAAACCTGTTTAGCATGTGGAGTAAAACCATACACAGAAGTGCAGCTGGCAAGACTTTTAAGCTTGTAGTTACCGTATTGAACATGTAACTCCAAAGATCTTGACAGTATCATGGGAGAACCTGAAACTGTATTTCAGTTCCCTTGAAGTTTCCTGTAATTAACTTAAATGGCCCGATTTGCTTGAATTTGTTGGCATAATATGGATTAAGTTAAGAATGTCTTTAGGGTTTATTTTGCTTACAGTTCCATGGGCATATGCAGAAAATACTTTCTTAAAGGTTGACTTTAGTGGAAAAAATGAAAAACTGCTCTCTTTCATGTCTAAACAAGTTTTTCACTTAGAGCAAGCCACATCTACGGTTAGTTGGCTCCTTTCTGTGAGAGGATCACCTCTGCGGGAAGGATGGCTGTGGCTCCCTGGGCCCTTTTATGGGACACTCGTGTGCCTGTAGCTTTCTGTACAGTGGCGAATTCCCTTTCGACCGCAGGTGCTGCAGCATGGTGGGAGCTCCTGTAGCTGGAATCTGGCCTCCAGTGTTAGAGGTGGGTGATTTTTAATAGCACTGCTGTGTTCAAAAGGGTTTGTGTTTTATCTGCTTTACTTATATATATTTGCAGTCCTCATGACTGGTATTTGTGAGAGCTCGTCATTACCTTTCTGAGGAGAAATGTAACGCCAGGTAGCCTTTCTAGCCTTACACCCAAAGAGTTCTTTTCAACAGTTCGTAATTTCTGATTGTTAGTAATATTAAACTTTTTAGTTTCTGTTCCTTAATGTGGATAATGCAGGTGCGGATGATTCTTGAAGCTGTTTTCTGCAGATTAGAGTGAATGTATTCGTAGAGCCAGAATATTCCTTTTTTTTTTTTAAGAGAGATCACTGTTTGAGGAAAAAGGCAAGCTGGCCAGACCTTTTAAGGTGAATGTGGATCATCATGACAGAGTTTACTATACTAATACACTTGTGAGTAATCAGTCTCCTGCTCTTCCCAAAGGAAATGCGCCTTTCTGAGCTTTTTTTTGTTTCTTCAACAGGGTGAAAACTAGCTTTTTCTTTTCATAAGTACATCTTTTTCACAGAATTTCTCAGCATTTCTATCACAGATCAAGAATCCAGCATTTACCTCTGAAATATTCTCTGCTGACATCTACAGAACTTTTCATGCCCTTCAGATTTAATTTTGTATAGAATAATGCATGGTATAATATGTTGGTCCTCTGTTTTCAATTAAGCTGTATTAGGTAACTATGCTCTTCTTTCATATCCCGTAGCAAAGTATCAATATCCAGATGGCAGTGTGCTGGGATAAAATAGCTACAGGCTTGGCTGCTACTGTAAAGCCAAGAACTAACATTTTAGCCTGTGTGATAAATAAAAGTGAGGTTGCGACTCTTGGCGTATTGGAGTTGCACTAAATAATGCTACAGTGCTGTTTATTACTGGTTTCATTGGATAATATGCAGCTATAAAACGTGCTTGAAGCTTTTATTAAGAATACTCTGTCATTATATAAAGGTGCCTACAACTTCTTTATGATATTGACGGTGTAAGAATTACTTTGTGTGGACTGCCTGGCTGTTGTCTAGGGAGGACCTTGCCCTCTCCCAGCTTGTGTAGGCGTTCGGTCCCATGAGTGTCTTTTGGGAAGAGGACAGCTCTGTAGAGCCTAGGTTTTAAAAGTTATTTTTAAGGTATTTTTTGCTCTTTGCTTTTTCTTAAGTTTATTTCAGAATTTAATTTATTGCTTCAGTTAAAATTCAGCTGTTATTCTCTGTGGTATAAACTGTGCTACTGTGTCGTTAAGTAAAACTTAAACTGAGGTCACCCAGATAGTTGCCTGAGAGGTGGCTGCAGAGTGACTGGGGCTTTTATACTGGCTGAGAAGGTGGTGGGAAGACTTGGTAGTAGGGAAGGGAGTAGGTGTCTTGAATTGTTCTCACGCAGTTTGTGGCACATCTTGTGACTTAGATTTGTTCATGTGACCTCTGTGCCTCTGTTTACCTAACTGGAATCATCTGTTTTTCTCAGAAATGTTCAGATTTAAATTGGTGACCATACTCATATAATTTATTAGACTGTTGTGCTTTTGAGCAAAAGCAAGTTATTAATGCTATTACTAATTCATTAGATAAATGCTATTACATTTCCATATTCCATGGATCTTGGATACCCATAGGCACCTGTTTGTGGTGCCCCTCTTGGAAAACACGGAATTGAACACTGTCCAGTGGGATGTGGTACCAACATGGTGTCTGTGGGATTTAACAAACATGGTAGATCAACGGGTGAGGAAACCCTTGCATTGCTCAGTCTGTAATCCTTGTTTGTAAGCGCAACCTGCTGTCTAAATTAGTTACAAATACCAACTTTTTGTTCCATTTCCCCATTCTCCATATGTCCATTTTTTGTCTTTATAGAATGCACTGAAGAGCAGAAGTAGTGAGGTCCGTGATGGGAAGGTGAATCCAGCAGTCCATCCCATGTTCTATCCACCTGAGTACGGGAAGAGACCTCATACAAAGCTGGAATGCATGTGGGCTTGCAGCTCTTTTAAACCACTTTAAGTCCTATTCAGAGTTAATGGTAAGTAATGTGTTTTGTGTATGTTATAATTCATTAAGGCATTACAGTAGTGGCACTTTTCCATTGTGGTACTGGCTTCTGTCTCTAACAAAATGCAGAATTAATGTTTCCAGATATATCAGCTTTAGTCCTGTTTTTGTTAAGAAAATCATGTGGTGCAGATGACAAGCATTATAAGAAGTATGCTTTTTTTTTTTTTTTTCTTTTTTGTCTTCTCCAGATGAGCTCAGTGAGACTGCTCTAAGCAATGCTGAAGAAGGAAAGAACAGAGTTGGAAGGCAGGAGCTCTTTCAAAGCAGGATTCTTCTTCTTTTTGTAACACCCAAACATGAAGACTTTATAAACTTCATGAGGTAGAGTATTGATAATAGTGTAATATTGCATGATGTAATATTGCACTGCTTTATTGTTCAGTGATTATGTGGATCTGCATTAAATAAATGAACATATACTAGTAGCTTAAATGAACATTATGAATGAGAGCAGTAAATGGAGAAGGTGGGTGCTAGAGGAAGTGCTACTAGCTTTTTTTAAGCCAGTGTTTTTCATTTTTTTCCATCTCTTTCCATAACCTATAGTTCTTTTGTTTGTTGAGAAAGATGGAATGAAGAAAAATAACCTTTTCATTCAAGAAATTAAAGCTAGTTCAACTTCTTAGCCAGGAAGACCTCACAGTCCTCTTAGCTGTTACAGCATCTTAATGCTTTGTATAGCAAAAAATAGCACTCGTAGTGCTGACCCGTGACCTCTCCATAAGCACCTGTAGTGCTGCAGCACGTGCTGCTCACTCTTCTCGGGGCTTCCCTTGTCTGGGGGCGGTTGCGAAATGTCCACTGTAGTGCGGCCCTCTGTGACCGTTTGCATCCAAGGATGGAATTTGCAAGTCTTCTTCTGTCTGGAACTAGTGGGAGCTCCCTCCCGGGTCCAATAGTTCTCAAATATTGCAAGAAAAGATCTGACAGTGTTGTCTGGGAAATGTGATTGGCTTAATTATTGACATGTATTAAGTGCCTTGCGGCACTCTTCCACGCAGAGGGGAAGAGTCGTTGCCTTCCATTTTTACAAACAGGAGAACTGGCATGTGGGAAGAATGGATCTCTTCTATCTTCTGTGATTCTTGACCCACATAATTAGATGACTGTCATGAGAAATAGCAACTTGGCTCAGGGGAATGGCAGTGGGGAAGGATGCCGACACGTTCGGTATTGCACACTCCTCCCTCCCAGAATGGCTTAATGTAGTAAGCAGGGTCTTCCCTCAGTGGGTGTCCATTGGCCAGTGAGGAGATTTAAAAGGGCTGATGAGCCCGAGGCTGTCTCTGTACCGGATAGCTTCATTATAGATCTCATTCAGGGAAAAAGTGAGGTACTGCAACTCATTTCTAGGAGCTACTCTTGTTTTTAGCAATTACTCACCCTCTTCCTCCTCCTGCTCCCTTTCACAACAGCGTGGCCTTTTCCCAGGGTAAGCTGATTCACTTCATGGCTGCTCTTTGCAGTTTTCATGCACTTAGCCTCTAAGGCAGTAACTGTTTCTTCTGGGCTAAGACTTTAGTTTCCTTTTTTTTAATAGTTTATTTTGCAAAGAAAGAGAATCTGTCCAGCTGCTACAAACAATAGTGGTTTTGATGTGTATCAATAGTTAGAGATGTGTGTTTTCCATGTAGAAGATAAAAAGACTTAAAGCCTGCTTTAAAGGAAGGCAAACCTTGGAGAGGTTTACTTAAATGTACAATATGCCCTATTCTTTCATTTTTAAAAACAGTATTAAGGGATTTTTTTATTTTTTTTTTTTCCAAGAGAAGAGAAAATAATTTCATCTTTCTGATTGCATTTTTTTTTCTTAGTCTCACAGTTGTCAGATAAATATTCAGAAATATGAGTTGGTAAGGTTAATGTGATTAAAATGAATATGTGATAACAGGCTCTGCGCATTAAAGATTAAGAGCTCAAATTATAGACTCCAGAGTGAAACACTCCATGAGCATTTGCGAATTTTGTTTGTGCAAGGAATGCAGGCTTAGGCCCCCGGTTGCAGTTGCACAACAATTTCATCCTGTCTGCTGCTTTTTTGTTGTGACTGATCTGCACAGAAGTCTCTCGAACACTGTATAGTGTCAGGGTGAAAATGTAGTCTGGGGTGAGGTGAAGGAAGAAATGAGGAAATAATTTCAGTCCAAGCATTAGTGTTACTCTATAAAAATAGATTAGTTTTACACAAATGATTCACATTTACAGAGATTAGTTTATAGCATTTTGACTGCACAGTAGTTAATTCTTTATGTATAAATTGATCCTTTATACAAATGTAATTCCATATACAACAGTTAATCTCTTTGAGTATGAGATGAAAATATATTATCATTTAATTTATGTGGGTTATGACTTTCTTTCCCCTGTACTCTGCAGTGGTTACCTACACTAAAGTATGGTAGGTGTGTGCTTAATGAAAATTAGATGTGAAATGTAATATGTGGAGGACAAAGAAGCATTGAAATCCTTATTGCTCTTAAAAAGACAAAGGTACCTCAGACAATTCTCCTTTCTTAATCTCTTGAGAATTCAATGCATTATTCTGCTGTGAGCAATTTGGAGTGAATGAAATTTTAAATATTTTTAGAAATAGGATTAGTACCAGATATTATTGCTCACCTTTTGTGAAGCCTAGTTGTGTTTTAAAATGCTTTCCATTTTGGGAGGCTAATTTATAGACCATCTTCCACAGAGGGGGAAAAAAAAAAAAAGTGTCTTGGATTTACCTGGAGGGACAAGCCTAACTGTTATACCTGTGAAATTTGCTAATGTTGCAACCATTTAAATGAAATGTTTGTTTACATAACATCAATGGCATTTCTCCTCCTCTTCCTTGCGGTTTTGTCCAACTAGATGTTATGAGTGGCAGTTGCAGTGACTGCTAAGTGTTTAAATGATGACACCATTATGTGAAGTGATTTTGAAATGAGAGATTCCAGCCAAGAATTACATCTGCTCTCATCTCCTTCAAATCATACTCTCTGGCTGTGCAGATTATGATTGATTTGTTTGTGACAGATTGCAGGAAACAGTCATTGATTTTTCAATATTTTACCTTAAAATTATTTACAGTTGTAACCAAGGGGAGGTATTTCCATGGGCTGTCAGCCCCTGAAAGACTGGGATAATATTCCCTGCTCCCTGACAAGACAAATTACCCGTAATGAGTGCAGTAGCTGAAGGGTATACTTTTATTTTAAAATATGTCAATAACCCCAGTGACTAAACGAATATTGATTCAGCATAATGAAGCCTGAGTAATGTGAAAATGAGCTCTTCAAGGAGCATGGTAAAGACTTTCTTTTTAGCTTGTAGCAAGAAGCTTTTCATTCTTTACTGTTAGGTAGTTGAAATGTGCAGCCTTAAACAAGTCATCCTTAAACAGTAGTAATATGTGGAATAACGTAACAAAAGAACTCATTTTTTTTTCTGGTTTTGGGTTTTGTTCCCTCCCCCTCCAAATTCTTGTTCTTCAACACATTTCAGTAGATCAGATGTTTAAAGAGAAAAATGCGAGTTATCCAGGGCAGAGATAGAATTACTATTGGTGTTAATGCCTTTTGCAATAATATTCTTCAGCCAGCCTAATGGCATTTTTAAAGTGGATTCTGCATATATGGGCATGGAAATGTATCTAAATAAACTGTAGATTTAATTTCATATTATTGACTTCTTGGACATATTGATGTGTGTTCTATGTGATCGGTCTAATATTCTTGTCCTTTAACAATTTAGAATAGATGGTTTATGAGAACCTAGATATACTGTGTTATAAAACTTAGTTACCGTAGTGCACATTTTTCTTTCCAGTGTCTTGTAACACTGCATGTTTCTTACCAAATGAGAATTTTCAAGGAGTAATTCATTTAAATTACAGTAATTTATGCAGTGGCATAGGTATGGTGTGGAAAAACATCTACTAGATTAATACGGATGAACTTCAATTGTTCAGGGTAAGGATTAGATTAAAGACCATGTTGGGGTACAACGTTTTTTAACATTAAAAATATTGAACGCTAAAAAAACCCTCTCATCAGAAAGGATCAATTTGTCATTTGTATTCAGGAGCATTGTGCAAACCTGGGAAGGCTCTGCAAAAGCACTGAGTAGAAATAGCTGTGTAATCCAGATATACGCAAAAAGATACTTTCTTCAGGTGGTGTTTGTGTATAATGTGTCAATTATGAAATAATGTCATAGCCAGAAGCATTTAGTGAGCATGTTTGGGCACGAAGATGACTTTCCTTATTTTCTGAGGACTGACTTCAATTGCGTCCCACTAGCTTGTGAAAATCTTCAGAAGGATGTTTTCCTGTCAGCACACAGGTGATTTTTGCAAATGTCATTCCTTTAGCACAGCTATAAAGTATTTCAGGAGGCACTAGAGAACCTGTGGCATTGAGAGTTAAATGGCAACCCTGGAATGTGAGAGATATTCCTGTTTTAATTTGTTTATCTTACAAAAAAAAATGTTATGTGTTGTACATTTGAGTGGGTTACAACTGTAAAGAATTGTAGTTTTGAGTGGGCTTGTGTGTAACACCTAGAGAATGGTTAATGGTGAGGGAGGAATAATCTCAAGTATATAGCAGTGACAACAGGAGAATTGGGGGCTCTTAGAAATTCAGGTTCAAATGGTAACATTGAACTACTCGGTGGTATTTTACACACCCAAGTTCTCTGCCTGTTCTCATTGTTTCTCGACCTTTTGTTTCTTTGGCCAACAGCAGGAGATGGGAAAGGAAGGTCCTCTTTCGGTAGCTTTCCCACAGTAGTGAGGAAGAGAGAGACTCTTCAGGGCTGGGTGCCAGTTCCGATGCAAACTGAAGGGCAAATAAATGTTTGCTTTAACTACATCTCCTTTTTCCTGAATAACAATGCATGAGCTCGGTGGTACCAAGCTGAACAAAAGCAGATGCTGCTGGAGGTACTGCTGACAGCTAAACCAAAGTGGGCTCTGCTTGCAAACCACTGTCTTGTTTCACTTGCAGGGCAGGTAACACCTCTTGCATTGCTACCTTTCCCAAAGATATGTTTGCTTATTAAATACCCGCCTGCCTGGCATTCTGGTTCAGGCCTGACTTGCCTGCACGGCACGAATAGCAAATGGTGCATTCTCGGCTGCGGGAAGCTGACAAATGGCTTGCAAGCTTTGTGGGTGATACTGGAGATTTCTGGTGATGATACCTTGGAAGCTCTTGTTATTCACACATCTCCTAGAGTTAGAACTGCTACAATTGCTACTCCACTTTCAGGTGACTGTGGAGGAGAAAAAAACAAAACAAAACGAACAACAATCCCAAGTCATTAATCAGTTAAAAATTCTTGTGGCATTTGGGATCTCCTAGGAGCAGAGCATAAGCTCGACTGCTGTTCAGTTAGCTAAACGTAAAAGCAGAAAACACTGTGAAATGAAGGTCATGGGTAAGAACAGAGTAATCCGCTTCGTGGAGGAGAAGAGGCTGCTGGTAAATCATGAAGGGCTAATATTTAGGGGGTTGTATGTCCCTCGACACTTGGAGACTTGCCACTTTTGACTCATATCAGTTCCTTCTGGGCCTGACATGAAGACAGTGTCTCAGTATGTTCTCGTAGTAGGAAGCTGGTGCAATATTAATGGTGTGGGTGTTTTTGTGTAACAGAACAGATCTCTATACCTATTTAACTGTCAGATTCCACTATGAATAAGGTGGCAAGCAAAACCAATGGTTGATTTTTAATTTTTTTTTTGTTTTACTTTTTCCTATTTATTCCTCCTCTATGTTCTCTGCTTTGCAGATAAACTATGAACTTGTTTTAGTTAATGGAAGGGCTGTGGGTGGAGGGCAGGACGTGTAAATGTAGGTAATGGAAATCATGCTTGCTGGCTGAGCTTTCCTCCCCTCAATTTGTTTGTTTGAAATCTAAGAACTAATATGTGATGGAACCAGAATCAGAGCAGTCTGTAAGTGGGCAGACAGCACTATGTGAATTTGCTAATCTAAATGTCATGGTTAGTTGAAACCAGTTCTTTCTGCCCTAAACTAAACATGTTGAAATTGTTGTTTCTTTTTGTTTTAATTTATGAACAAACAATTGCTTTTATCAAAAGCAATTCCACGTATGCAGAATACTCACATTTTTTTGGAATGACCGTATTGTATACTAAAAGGATTCACTAACTTGAGTGCCAGTACTATTGCAGAGTCTTTGGTATGGTGGTATGTATTTTACGGTTAGAGGAGGGTAACCCTACAAAAATATGAGGAGGATCCAAGATGCTTTGAGAGTCTTGCCTAACTGCAGTGGTTAAAAAGGCATGGCTGACTTAATGCGTGAGTGTTGAAAACTGTGTCTGGAATTATGGAAACAGGTTGAGAAACACAAGTTGAATTGATTGTTGATTATTTTCCTTTGTAAATACTGGGAAAAGATGTGTTATGCTCTGCAGTGGCCTTTAAGGAGGGTCCAGAGTGTCCTTTGTTACGTTTTGTTAACTTATCTTTTAATATGAAGTGTCATTCCCAAAATGAAGTAATGTCCTTGGGCTGGTGGCAACAGCTGGAGTTGCAGAACTCATAAATAATTCAGAGAGGGATAAAGGGTAGGGGATTTTTTTTTTTTTTGTCATTTGAATCTTTATTATGTGCACACATTTCATTTTAGATATGGCATCATTTGAATTCATTCGGTATGATGATTGCACTGACCTGTCAGATTTATTTTGATGTCCCTTCGAAGGACCATATGCTCTGTCCTCGGCATGAAAAAGGATGCGAGTTGCTAACCAAAAAGGCAGCTATGTTCCTGTAGGGATGAAGGTCCTCGTTTCCTGTTGTCACATCAGTAGATGCACAGCTGCAGTACAGTTGAAGAAAGCGTAGTCGCTACGTCAGCGCGGTGACTAAATGGCAGTGTAGTCTAGGGAAAGGTGGAAGAAAGGGCAAAGCCTGTTTGCGTCAAGGTGTTGTATGGCACTAAAAAGTGAGCTGTCGCTGAGGCCAGTTGGTGTGAGGAACCTGGCATGTGGGGGATGGAAAAGATTAAAGCCAGCTAGAAATCTGCCAAGGTGGAGGTGTGCCATGGTAGCTTTAATGTGGGAATACATTTAATTACTCTGTATGTTGGAAGTGGGGTTGCCATGCACACAGCCTTCCAGGGATGCATGGGGGTTATGCAAGGCCCAGGTCTTTTTCTTTGACCAATCTGTGCTCCCCTTTCCTCTTAAAGAAGCTGCTTGCTTAGCCAAACAAAATCTTGGACAATGTTTTTTAGGGAAAACATGCAGTTGTAGTTTCCCTCTTTGTTAATCTGTTTTAACTGTTGCATGTGGTCTTTCACCTGTTTCAGTGGTATGTATCTGTGGGCAAGTGGTATATTTGGCAGAAGTTACAGAGAAATCTACTGGTTTCAAGTTCAACCTTGTACCATAAGTAATGAACTGCACGATAATGAATAATGTTTGATTCTTACTGGCTAATGCACTGGCTGGTATTAACAATTCATAGTTGGTGAGATAACGGGGCCCTGTTAATGTTACCTTTGTATGCACTATTAATGTGACAGGATGGAACCACTACAATATTTTCATGGTGTAAGGTGTAATTGCAGAAGTGAGTGGTGATTTGTATGAAGTAGATGGTCCATTGTGCTCATGCCAGTGGCAGAAAGAAGACAATTAAGTGCAGGTTAATAAAATACAATAACTAGAAGCTGTGAATGTGAATGATAACTGTATGCAAAATTGTTTCTTTTCTAGATCCTGCCATCAATGACTGAGCCTCCCTGAAATCTTATCAGTTACCGCTGAGATGAGAAGGATAACAGGAAGGAGGAGTGCTTAAGTGGGTTTAACGACAGTAAATTTCATCTATTTATCAAATGACAGGTTGTTTTTTCCTCAAAACTCGATTGTCGTGACAAGATGCTTTTGGAAGTCATCTTTGTAAAATAAAACTGACAATTTTTAGGCTACAAAGAGCTATTGTATCTTTCTATACAATGTTGTCATTATGGTAAACTGCTAGAAAGTCTTTATTTTTGAAGTAATTTAACTTGCATACTTCATTCATTTATTTGAATGTCTGTTGAATGCCATGTGAAAAGTTTCTTGCCAGAGTTCTTTTATTCAATGGAACAGTTATTCTTACAATGCTCAATTTATTATTGTCTAAATTACTGTTGCCTTAGCCCCTTGCAAAAATGTTTCTTTTTAGTAATCCTTAAACAAATAAGGAATGAATGAGGTTTTGTCCTCTCTGTGTTTTGATCGGCGTATTTTTCCTTTCAGTGAAAGCGTCTTCAGTTTTCAGAATGACACTATTACAAAGAAAGGTGCTTTGCTTTTTTTTTTTTTTTTCCCAATAGAAAATGTCTTTTGTGCAGTGATTTTTTAAATATGTACACTGCCAAGATGCAATTACTGGAAGGAGAGACAGAAGCTGTTGGGAATGTCATGTTATGCCAAATTAAGAATTATTAGCTCTTACTTTCTCTCCAATCTCTTTGACTAGAACTCGACCTACTGCATCTGGCTTATACTTTGACTCTAGTGGAACTAATGTGTCCTTGGAGTAGCATTTTAGAGTAACTTCAGATTCATGTTTTTTTCACAAGTCTGCTTTAAACTGCTGGGATTAACTTCAGAGAAGGCAACAGATACAGCCTCCTTTGTCAGCAGCTGTGCTGGTTAAAGAAGGCAGCTTCATGCACGCTTGCTTGCTCACTCTCTCCCAGAGGCTATTGCCCCTGCTAGGGAAGCAAACTGAACTGTTTCCCTGAGCACACCCAGGCTGATTTCAGCCAGAGTTAATCATGTTATCAAATATTAGTTAACTAGCACCCTGGGTCATTTTGAGGAACGGGCGGGGGATGCTTAGACCAGCTCTACGGCCGGTGTGGTCTGGGAGAGGTGCTGTGTTGACAAGAGGGTTGCTGAGGAGCTGGTGGTGGCACAGTCTTTTCAGCAGGTGCAGTTGACACCTTTAAGGTATGGTAAAAACTGGACATGTTAGGAAGCTGTGTAGTTCTGTCGTGTATAATATTCACAGTTCAGAGACCTACTGGATAATATAAAATAAACCTGTGCTCTTTGACTTCTTGTGCGTGCCAGTCTGAGTGGAGAGAGACGGTGTGAGTGTGCGTATGTGACAGGACACCTATTTCAGGAAGGTGTATCTGGTCCATGGTACAAATGTTTCCATTATCTGGAGAACACACTGTTGTGCTTTACTCATCAAAGAGGCTGCCTCAGCCAACACATGCCTCGAGAGATAGGTTTTTGACACGTGGTGCTCTGAGCTGCCTCCCCAAAGAGGGGGGAACACCTCCAGCAGGAGAGGCCACCCTGTCCACTGCAGCCTCGCTGGCGTTGCATGAGTAGATGCTGGAGTCTGGTGAGGCATCCAAGCTCTCAATGCTCCCTGTGCCGAAATCAGAACGGTACGGCTGATCTCTATTACTGGAAGGCATACTGAGCAAAACCAGTGCACTAAACAGCTCCTTCAACACTGACCCTCTTGCGAGAAGGCTGGGGAGTGTAGTTGCCATCCCGCAGCTGGCTTGAGTGTACAAAGAACAAGAGGCTTTCTGATCCATCCGAAACCTGAGCGCAGCAGCGCTGCTTGTGTCTCCTCTTGGGGCACTGCTGGATGAAAAGAACTCGGTTCAGTCACAAAAAGGACTGAACCTCCAGCTCCCCTGACATTGCATGCTGTATCTTTTAGCTGGCCCTGTGCTAAAGAATGAGGAAGCGTGCACCGGCCTCTCTTACGTGCCATATGTAAGGGAGGAAAATAACTTACTCTGTCTGCAAAGAAATTGGTGTGTAAGGGGAAGGTGCTGCTTTGCAGGCAAAGACCTGCCTCCCCTGGCTGCTTTATCCTCAGCAGCGTGACCTTATCACAGTGCTCTCAGACCGAAGCCCGCATCTGCTGCTCCCTGAACCATCGGTCTGAAAAATAGGGACATGAAGAGATGAGGCACGGCAGGTCTTAGGCTTCTAAAGAGATTTGGGAATGCACATAACCTAAGAGGTTGCTAATGTTTTAAAATTATATGTAAAAAAGAAGTAGCTATGATATGACAGTGTGTGAAACCTATTGCTTTTCTACCAGGTTTTGAGTTAACTTGGCTCTGCACTGCTGTATGTTGAGAAAGTGTTGGACTTCACTTGAACTCTTCCTTACCCTTGTTAGCCTGTACTTGCAGCGCGCTGCTTGGTGCGTGCATAGATTAAGGAGGCAAAGCGCCAACCACATCGTTTCCAAAATCCCCAGCTTGCCCCCGATCCGGTCTCTGCAACTCTGTGGTGAAGGCGGGTGCGGCTCCGGGTGCGAGGGCCGTGCCCTGGGCCGAGCACCGGAGCGATGCCCCGCCACCGAGGGGCTGTGAGATGCCTCCCCTGACCGTCAGCTAAGGGGAAGGGAGCTCCCACAGCTCTCTGAGTCGGCCCGTAATTCATATAATTCTTTTATGTTACTATAGACTATTGTAATACTGAGGTTAAAATACTTATTGAAATACTTGTGATTGCCTAATAATTTTTTTTTTGCCTGCTTAAGTGGTAATACATAGTTAAACCAGTATTGCAAAATAACATATGTCTTATGTAGAGCACTGTCATGGATATGTTATGCCAATGAGTAAAATTTTATGTCCAAGCACTTAAAATGATCAAATACTATAGTTAAGGCTGTCATACTGTTTATGTACTGCTAAAAAGAAAACAAAATACAATTTCAGAGCAGACAGATTTTTTTTTTATATATAAATAGCCCAAATAATAGGTTAATTTCAATTAGACTTCCTGACTTGTTGGTGATTGCTGCATTCAGTATGAATCTCTCAGGATTCCACACAGGATCATGTGTTTATTATGATAATTTCTATGATTTCTATGTGTGCTCTCCACAAATATGTTGGACAAAACATAGTTTACCTTTTTAACTGGTACCATACGGTTACTTTCTAACTCCTTTAACTTCAGTTCAAACTTGGTTGAATAAAATGGGCATTCCTGAACAATAATCTTTGCATCTGTGATATGACAGTTGATTTTATATGACTGATTTCATACTCCAGACAGAGCAAAACCTTTTCAAGGCAGTATGTGTTGACAATGTACAGAGATAAAAATCAGTTAATGAGAAAGATTAAGGTGCAAACTTTAAATAAGAGCAATGAATCATTAAGAAATTATTAGAAAGGGAATAGTGGAATTTGCATCTTTTGAATGAAGATTAAATGTCTTTATAGAGGTATATGCCTAAACAAACGGCTGGGTGGGGTAGAGGAATTCCTCTCAGGCTTTTGTGCCTTTTGCTACCCCTGGGGTCAGGCTGGGTCATTTTAGCCATCCTTTTGGCTTGGAAGGGAGGAAGGCATCTCGGTGTAACAAATATCTTCACAGCGTAGCAGCTTCCACTGAAAAGTTACTCAAAGTTACTTCTCTTTAAAAAGGGATCGGGGAGGGGGGGGCATCGCTTAACAACCACTTTGGCCAGGTTCCTGTCTCCCAACACCGTGCCTTTTTCAAAGATCCTCTTTCACCTGACTGCTTGGTTCTGCAGTGGGTTACGTTTCATTGGCTTCAGGTGGGTTTCTTTCGTTCATCCATCCTCCCCCCACACCAAATTAATCAAACAGCATGTGAACATTTTTTTTTTTTTTTAAGAGCAAATGTCTTCTACAAAGTATATACTTCTACCAAGTGTAATGTTGCCTTGCTGCTAGAAATAATTATTAGGTTTTAAATAATCTGACAGCATCCTGCTGTGTATAAATTAGGTTTGTTCTCTACTAAGATTAGCTAGCTGGCACCCAGTCACTAGGACGTTACAAAAAAATGATCGCAGGTTGATCGCATCCGGTTATCTGCCTTGTTTCTTTTTAATGAGCTTTTTGTTGCTGTGCTGTCACCAAGGTTGAAATAAATGTGTGGAAGTCGTACGGTTCCAAGTTCTCTACAGCCTGGGGAGATGACGTTGGCTCTCCTGTACCATGAAAAGACTTGGGGGCATAAGCATTTGGAGAAGGGGAGAGGTTGTCTGCACTGACAGTTCTGAATCTTCTGCACCTTTGGTTTTGGCTAATGGGATGTTTTCTGCTCTGTGGCAAGCAGTATGTTACCACCGAAGTCCAAAATGCCAGGTATAATTAGCTCATGTGTTTAAATGGGTGGTGTTATTTTTTTAACTTGTATGTACTAGCCTGTGTTCATGCAGAAATACATATTTTACCTGGGAAGAATGCTGTATGAATCAGAAAAAGCAGAACAATTACTTGAAGCTATGTGCTAGTGTTTAAGATTTTTAAATAACCATGAGGTCTTTATTTCTCTGTTTATGACTGATTAGGGTTAGAGTTTTAAAAGCTTAATGCTGACTATAAGTGCTTTGCAGTCAGTCACTGAGAATTATGGGCTTGGCAGGACTCACGTTTTTGTCCTTCAGTATATCCATTATTGTTAGATGCTGAGTAGTCATTACACATAGATGACTGATTTTTTGGGGTATTTTACATTTTTACATGTTCAGAAAAATACTCTGTTAAAGCAGCTGCTGGGTGAATGGAGTAATTAAAGAACTGTACTGCTTTTATTGAAGTTGACACATGCTGCACATTTCTTAAAACTCAGTATGTGAGCAGAATGTCCCCAGGATTTATGGAACTCAGACACCTAGAGATACCGAGGAGCTTTTAGTAGTAGTAAAGATAACTTCAAGTTTTACACTGTTATATAAATCTGTTTTTAAGAAGAGAGGTATTATTGCAATATATTGCTTGTGGTCTTCAAGTTTTGTGCATGTGTACGTTTTATGTATGCACACACACCTACACACAAATGCTTAAGACCTGAACACTTCTATTTGACAGTGATTGTATATTCTATTTAGTATTTATTTGAAAAAAAATAGTGTTGTAATGCTGACTGAGAATCTGAATTTGCTTGGTGCCAAAAGAAATCTGCAGTTCTTTGATTCTTTTTTTTTTTTTTAATTATTTTCTTAAAACTGAAATGCAATCCTACTTAGTTTGAATTGCAGCTCTTAGTGTGTGAGTGTCTTGGTGTGGCCAGTAAGGAATCTTACTTAATGCAAACTGAGGCTTGGCTTCATTTTAACTAGTATGATGAGTGCAGTGTTCCGCATGCGTAATGCTTTCCCAGTTGTGAAAAAATAGACTTGTAATTACAACACGCAGTATCCAAACACGTTGCAAACTAATATCCTCAAAAAGTCTATTAAACAGCTGTAATTACCAATATTGTATTTTTTAGTGATATGATCTTCTTTTTCTTTTTTTTTTTTCCTTTCTTTTCCCAGTGTATTGGAACAATTTTATGTCTGTTTGAGCGTGTTCAGTTAGTCTGCCTTTCCTGCTAACAGTTCATGTCTTTAGAGAACTTTGGATATTCCTTTTTTAAAGCTATAATTACGCATTTCAGGCAGAGTTAACAAACCTTCAAGTTTCAAGATCAGAACACTTTTAACCTCACTTAACATGTATTTGGTTTACGTGCCCAGTGGTGTGGAGGCCTCTGCCAGGTGCGCTGCAGTGCCCTGGGCTTCGGTGAGAGCCGAGCACTCGGAGCTGACACAGGCACAAAGTACCTTCCTGAAAGAGGGGGCAGCCTTGGGAAATATCGGAGGGGCAGATTCTTCTTTTGAGTGACCCCGGAGCCTGACCACAGAAGCAGGTCTCCCCCTTCCAAGCCTGCGCGGAGGCCGAGCCGGCTCGTGGCCCTGCGGTGAGCGGCGCTGCGCGGGGCAGCCCGAGGATGAGTGGGGTGCAGGAGCCAGGCGACGTGCTGGCAACGTGCTGTTCCTTCTCCTGTGAATGCTTCCAGTTCAGCATGCGGCTGTCTCCGTGGCCCTGCTAAGAGAGAAAGTCTCCATACGGTAGCGCAGTGGCTGGAGGTGCTTTTTGCAAAATCTTTTTAAATAGCAGTAATGAAGTCGCAGGCAACTGTCACCTGGAAAGTCTGTGGTACCAGCGTACGTAAGACATTTTTTCTTCCCCAAATGCTTTGTCAGTGTTAAAGTCTTAGTAGTGCACTCTGGACTGACTTTATCTATCATCCATATTTTGTATGATTCCAGAGTAGAGCTTCGCATTTACTGTTGAATTATTTGGCTAAAACCATCAAACTTTTATGTGTATATTTTGCGATGTTTAAACCTTAAGCACTTTTCAAGCAATATCTTTGACTTACTGTTATTGCACGCTATGAAATAAAATGCGCTGTTAAAATACCTGCAGAAAGTGCATTCATCAGCTACGAATAAAAATGTGGAAAAAATATTTTCAAAATTTTCGTTTTTTTGCTAATTCTTCCCTGTTGATTTTGCATTATTTTTAATGCGAGGCATGGAAAAGAAGAGGTTAGTTTCCCTTACCAGGATACATAAGGCACTGCTGTGTATTGGTGTTCTAAACCTCTAGGACCGTATAAATGGAAAATACATATTTTAATTTTAACATCATGTTAGGTATGCGGTAGAAGTTAGTTTTATGCCTGGATGTCTGCGTGAGCAGGGTAGGTATTTTTAACTGTCCATGTATTCCAACAAACTCATCTTGCGGGCAGATCTTTTCGTATTGGGTTCTGCAAGCTGAAGATGAAAAATTGGTTTCCAAACTACTTGTGTGTTTTAATATTGCGAGTCAATTCCCATGTGTTAAAGTGTAAACTACTAACTAATCCATAGGAGTTTATGCAGGAGAAAGTCATTTAATTAACACTTTTAATTTCAGCTGTGAAAGAAGGTGAAAATGAGGTCTGAAGAATGGAGAGAGGCTTTCTTTTTCATTGCTGGAGACTCACCATGCAGTAAGTCTGCTGATGCTTGGGTACACAGACCATCTCCTGCCTGCTAATTAGGGCCTCTCCAATGTGCTCTCGAGAAATGCGCTCAGGAAGTTTTTTCAAGAAACCACCACGCCGTCATAAATAAGGAAACAGTATGGTATGTAACTATTATACACCACTTGTTTGGCAGACTATAATTTAATAGAACAACAGTGATCAGGCTAGTATATCAGTTAATTTTCAAAACATTTTATTCCACACAAATTAGCTCAGGTCCTGGAGGGCAAAATGACAAGAGGTTACTCGTACACTATGTATTTAATTAATTGAAAAATGCTCAAATTGCTTTTACAGTTGTTATTAAAAAGTAGAATCAGTGTTGCCAGTGCTCAACCATAATTAGAACCCCGGGGAATTAAATATTTAGCATTAGTAATGTAACAGCACTTAGGACACAAATTTCTATTTTTGTAATGAAAGCAATACAGTGTAAGTGCAAATGGCTGAAACGACAGCTGTGACAAGCGAACCAGCCTGGGATATTTCAATAAGACACCTCGTCGGACAGCAAGTCTTACCGCATTACTCGTTCGTAGGAGATCTGCGAGTTTAAATCCCGATAGCCAGGCATTACACCCAGTATTTAGATTTCTAATTGCTCGCAGGATGAATGGTTGGGCAAATGTCACGCTGTCGGCGGGGGGAAGTGTGTGGTGTTTTCCCAAATAACGCCGTGGAGGTGCGTGCCTTTGTCAGCACGGGCAGGGGCTGGGGGGCAGCTCCCGGGGCTGCCCAGGGAGGAAAAGAGAGCTTGTTTGTTTTAAGTTTAATTATGGTTTAAGCGTAAGTGCTTTCAGTGATACAACATGAAAAGTCGGATATTGGGCTCTAATGAGCTGTAGTGGTAGATGGCTGGAGACCCAGAGGGATTCATTCACTAAATTAACTGGATAAAAGTACTTCATTTGGGCACGGTAGGATGGTTGAGCTCTGCTCCAAAACTCCCTTTCAGAGCTGTCTCTCATTCCTGTTTTCGTTCTAAACAGGCTGTGTAGTGACTTCCACAGCCGCCTGCTACAACTGTTCAGCTTGTCAGAAGGTATTATGTTACCAGCTAATAAGTAATAAAACATATTTGACTTCATTTCTGTTCTGGTTTGGTTTTTTTTTTGGGGGGGGGGGGGAGGATGACAGGGGAAGGAGGAGAGCTTGAAGC